CGGCCGCGCCGGGAATGCCGCAGGGGCGAGGAAAGGGCGTTGAAGGAACCTGAGCAGCGGGATCTGCCTCAGGGTTTGATAATCAGAACTTCAGGGCAGGATGCACGGGCAGCTGTGTGCGTGCCTGCTGGAAAACCTGAGACCCGCTGGAGGATGAAACATTTTGCGTATAAGGAGGAAAAGAACACTGTTTGCATTGTGCCTGCCAAATGAGAATTGAAGCGTCTGTTCCAAAGAGAATCAGGGAACTTCAGAACTCCTGCAGCTGATCTTTCAGGCTTGTTGAGGACATCTATCTCCCTGTCCTCAGGGACATGTAAGAACTTGGACAGTGTCTAAATGTGTAACTATAAATTCTCTCCGTGCTCTCTTAATATTTCCATTCCCAGGTCTAACAACAGTATCCTGTGCTTACACATAAAGTAAGCAGTGCACATCTAGTAACTACAGGCTCTAAAATTTGGTCTTGTAAGGTTCCCTTGGGCAGACACAAACTGTCAACTATTTGTAATTGTCTTGCGAACAAAAGTATTGTGTTGTCTCACCTGTTCTCGAAGCTGAGAAGAGCAAACTCTACACACAGGGGATACTGATACATATGAGCAGGGCTAAATCTCAGGCAGAGGATGGGTGCAACAAATATTTCAGAGTTGTTCTATGATGCTATGAAATGTGTTTATGTAACCAGATAACTGAAATAATTTCAACCCCCAACCTTAATGAAGGTCCATGCCTCAACAAAAACAAAAGCTTACGCAGGGCTCAGACTGACAGGCTAGTGGGTGATGGTTGCTTTTCTGTCTGTGGGAAAAGAAAGAAGTAAGACCACAGATGACAGGAGACTTCAAAAATAGGTACAGGAGCTCTGGGATAGAGCAGTTCCAGAAGCAGGAACAAAGTTCAGGAAATCAAGAAACTGTACTTTGAAGAAATTTTCTCCTGTTTGACAGATTTCCTTCGCATCCAAGGAACTTTTAAACTAAGCATCATTCCGAGATAATTGACTGTATCATAATTTCCTCATTCAATCTGCAAAGTTCTGTTTTGACTCTCTTAACAATCAGGTTAAGAGAGGGAGTACAAATTTCCAGCCATTTCTGTTTAAGGCTGGATTTCTGCTTGCAATCTGTAAGTACAAGATTTTCTAGTCTATTGTCAACCTTCTGACCTATCCTGTTGCCTTCTGCTACAACCCTTCAAAATAAGCTCTGGACTTGGAAACAGGGTAGTTTGCACTAAGCCCCTCTTTTAATCTTCCTTTCTCACCCCTCCTTTTCTTTACAAGCAATTTCTTGTGTGTTCAAATAAAAACTTGCATTAATTTCAACTAGGAGAGCAATATTTAGAGTTATTTTTATGGTGCTGTCCTCCTGACTTTTGTAAACAATAATAGAGAGTAATTTAAATGATAATTTGAATGCCAGTGCTCTGGCACGACAGGCTGAGGATATCCCAAATCCACAAAGAAATGTAGTTTAAATGTGCATGCAGATTGGTAAAAATACAGAGTACTGGTTTACTGATTTTATGAAATACAACACTGTACTAATTATTAAAAAAGAACCAAAAGACAACCAGCCAAAAAAGCACAAGCTGTACAATAATGACATTATATCTGGAGTGGCTTTTTTTCTTGCAAACCCTGCCATTTCAGTTTGTAATAGCAGGCACTGCTAGTTTGTTATCTAGGGAGATTGACTCACATTTGCAAGGTGAATGAAACTTCTTTGAAGGTTTGTAAAGTTTCTTCTCTTTCCACCTCAGAGGACACAGTGAAGCTGCTGTGACAGTGAGGCTCAGAGCTCCCACATCTCCAGCAATTTAGGGCACAGGTTGTGCCAGAGAAGCTCTTTCCTACTGCTGCTGCTCTTCCTAACATCTCTAAATACACTAGAGGACCAAAATAATGACACATTTTAGGGAAGGACATGTAAATATGCTCCAACCCTTTTCTGTCCTCCTCACTATGTCACTTCCTCATGTAAGACTCTTGCTTTCTTTGGAAAACTCTCCTTTCACATCTCAAAAAAAATCTCCTTACATGTTTTGTCTTGGTATTCTTTAGATGCATCGGCCAAGACCAGGTATGAGTCTAGGGTTATAAAACCAGTTGCATGCACAAAGCACCATGACACAGCTTCGTTCTGTGAAAAACCATGAGAAGGCAGATATCAGGGTAGATTATGTAAAAATAAAATTAGTGCTGTTAATTGTGTTCATTTTCAACAACTGTCAGTGATCTGAAGACTAGAAACTTGTTTTTTTCTCTAAGTGGAAGATGAGGTGTTGATGTATGAATTAGGTTCCAGAACTGGAATCAAATATTGCAGTAATTTTTTCTCAGCTCTGGTAAATTTGGCTTTGTTAGTTTCCATCTCTTTAATAACGTCTCAGCCTTGGGCACATGAGAGAGTTTTTGGCCATCCAGCTGGTGTGGTTTTGGGACTACAGTCAGTGGGAAGGCAGTCAAACTTGGGGAAAAGCAGGCCCTAAGTTACACCCTCCCACTGCAAAGGCAGCTCATGCACCAGTCAGAACTATCCTTAATTCTGCTGCTGTGAAAGTGCCACCACTAAAGTGCCACCACTAAAGGTTCTATCTTAACAATTGAAGAAATCACTTTCACTTCCAGCCAAAGCTAGCTATATATTATTAGTTCATTGGAGACACAGTGTTTTTTCAATATTTATCATACTATAAACACATACAGAACACCTCAAAATACTGCAGGACACTATGAATTAACTGTATTTTTTAATTGTATTTGTATAGCGTATTATTTCAATTGTTTAGATTTAAGGCAGGCTTTATTCCATATATTTAACTTCTACGTAGCTTGAAGGAAAAGAGTCACATTACAAGGAAAAAAGAAAACAAATTTTAAAACCCCCATCTCATCAGTTTTAAAGCAAATAATACCTATATGAGCTAGAAATGATGTATGGCAGAAATTATCCTATCAATTAAAATGCATGTTTATGGCTCCACTAAAAATATGAATGTGCAGCAGCAGTGATGCCTCTGGCACTGTCACCTAATTCAGTCACAACTAAACCATTGTGATGACAAATCTCATCTAGGAAACTTCAAAAGTTATTGGAATAATCATTGTCTTCACTTACCTTGAGACAACCAGAGGGAGAATGAGCATTTTCAGCATCCTCATCAGTAACTCACCAGGAAACTGGAAGTAGCTAATTTCCTGGAAATACATGGAGAGATGCTTATTGTTTTGAGCTAAAGACTGACTGTCTTCACAAGTGCTGCTGGAGCTGTGAATCAGATAGCATTGCTAAAATCTGCACCCTTGGTGCAAAGACAAGGTGGCAAAGATAGCAGGCTTTTAAAGGTAATTTTAAAATGAATTAGATTACATAATGTGTTCTTATTCAATAAACACACTGCATTGTTCATTCCTTTACGAAAGAAGACAGAAATGCAATGTGCCATCTCTTGGAGACTACTGTTAATCAGCTGCCTGAATAATCTCCATTCTGCATTTTGTCATTTTTCCTAGATGTGTTTGAAGCTATGGCTTGGACACAAACAATGTTCAGACAGAGAGTAGTTTGCAGTAGCAGAGGTCAGAATTGGTTTCATTTAGTTGCATTCACTAAATGCCTTATTTTTTAACTGAGATTTCTATTTTGTGCTCAAACAGTGCATTAATTAATGTGTGTTGTTGTCTAGTCTGTCTGACTGATCCAGCAAAAAAGAGCACCAGCTTAGCTGAAGTATGCTAGGGGAGAATTTCTCAAGTGACTTCACTAATGATGGGAAATCTCAAATTTATTAATCTGAAACACCATTACTGTACTATAAACATCTGCATCCCTGTGCATCTGATGCTGAAATATATTCCCAGTGTTTTCTTTAGCTGTATGTGTTCCAAAACAGTATAAAATGCATTTTTATTGCACTACCAGTTTCTGCAGGCCTATATTAAATGCTACATTTCATCTAGCTTAAATGTCCACTATTATTATCCATACCTGCAACATTCTGCTGTGCTCCTGCTATGCTTCCCAGGTGTCTGAGAGACCAGAACCCTTTGCTAACTATTGTTTGAGAACGCATGTAAAGACCCAAAGAACATCGTAGATTGACAAACAGAAGAAACGAAACAATTTTAACGAACACATACACGTGACTTTTACATTCCAGAACCCACCCTGAAGTTCCCCAAGGTACACACGTCTTTTGTTATGTAAGTCTGGCATTTCCTCTGCAGGGACTTGCTGTAAGCTGCTCCTACCTGCTGGGAGAGTCGCCTTGTCCTCAGGAAGAATCCCAGGAGGCAGCCAATGGTGACGGACAACACGGAGAGGATGAGCAGCCCGTTCCTTTTACAAACATCTTTGATCCGAGCGAGGATTGCATCCAGGGCCACCGCCATGCTGTCCTGCCTGCTCTTTGGAGAAGAATCAGCATCCCATGGGGAGAGAATTCACTCGCTCCTCTTGTTCGGGTGCACAGATCTGGCTCTGTATAGATCAGATCAAAGCACTTCCAGTTCTGCTTAGCTGACCTGCAAGGTCACCCTTCTGCCAATAGCCACCAAGCAAGCAGCTGGCATTATTGTTCCAAATTAATACCAACAATCCTATTATCAACTACATCATTAAGAGCCTGGAAGAAGATTAGGGGGCTCTGGAAAATTAGAACAGAATGCAGTAGTATTTCTAAAACAAGACCAGTTCAAAACAAAGTGACACTCCTAGGGGAGAGATGATGCACTCCTCAGCCTCCCCAGTTTGGGGTCTGGACACCCAAACCCAGAAAGGCAGCCCTACAAGCCAGCATTCAAACAGGGAACAGAGCAGTTTTCCCAAAGGGCAGAGCAGGTAACGTTTTGAACAGGACTATCACAGCAGGGCAAGCTAGGTGAAACTGGACTTCATTAATTAAAGCAGGCTTGGGTTTTTTTGTTTTCATTGCCAAAAAAAGGATGAATGAGCAGCATGAGAGACACGCATCAAACTGGAAATAGCCACAGACTGGAACATGCAAGGACACCTTCTGTCACTGGGCATTTATTATCTTGGAAGTGAAATGATTTCACTTTTCTTCCAACCACTATGTTGATTAGAGTAGGGCCAATTTACTTTCAGAGGATTATCAGACTAAGCCACAGGGATTGCTTTCCTTTCCTTTGCTGTGTTCGCATTCAATCCCAATGCTGATTTTTATGCTAGTGAGTGTCAGATAAAAATACACCACCATAACCATTCACATGCCATGCTTTCTTATGAAAGCATTTCTGTAGTTTTTGGTGTATTCTGAGATTATTCAATGTTTTAATGGAAAATATTCCTCACAGTACAACAAGGTTGTGTGTTTATAATATTACATTTTACACCGTGATCAAGTATTTGTTGTTGCATGCTTATGTATGAGTGGAAAAAAACTCAGAAGAGATTAAACTGTTCTTTTTGGGGGCAGGATCTCAGTTCTGTGTAGTCAGTAGTACATATGGATACATACACAGGAAACAAAAGTGGGGTGGCAGGAAATTAAAGAAAAAATACATAGAGTCGGTATGTTGAGCATAAAACAAAAAGAAGTGGATTGCAGAAAAGCAAGACGATTGCATAAAATTTTATCAGTGAATCAGAACGTTTTATTAATGTGTATGTGAGAGGACTGATGAACCTCCCCAACAACCTGGTAACTTTGCTACTTTAGCACCACGGATTCAATTGGCTGTTAGAATGGAATAAAAGAAAATCGAATCGCTCTTCCCGTTCATTCCCGGAGCCGCGGGAGAGGCGCCGGGAGGAGCGGCGGGCGGGGCTCTGAGCGGAGCTC